ATAAAAAAAAACACCTGGAAACAGGCATTCTTTTTTTAGAATCCATAATTACAATTACTTGTCATTATGTGCTTGTTTAAATTTTCTTTTTGGCAGACATCTTTATAAGTTTATGAATAAAAAATTGTCTTCTTTTTTTCGTTATAAGCTGATAAGTGTTTCTTTGCATTCTAAGAATGTTGTAAATATAAAATTATTCTTGTAATTAAAAAAAATCTTAATAAATAAACAATTCTTTATATAAATTTTTGCCAATAATCAAATAATAAAAAAATGTATAAATTCACTTTCATATGTTTGTGTGTTTTTTGCTTCTAATCATCACTATTTAAAAAAAAACATTTCCTAGGGAGTGAAAGTAGCTAATATAATAGCGGTGTCAAAGGGAAATCCGTCCTTTTGACGCACACATTTATTGCGGATAGGAATGTTAAAGTTTTGAAAGATACACAGATAGAGAGATAGATGTTTTTGCTTTCCGGTAATGAGGCCCAGGTTAGTTCGTCAAATTGCTCCATTCTTCAAGAAAGTGACTTCCTGATAATATCGGCCAGTGCAGACAATTCCAGCGTACTTGCACCTTTAGAATGTTCCCGAAAAGGATTCCACCGGTTTACCCAACCCATGTGTGGGAAATAGCGGAGATGAATCCGTTTGGTAATCGTCGCCTGTGTCACGAGTGCACAACACCGATGTTTAAGGGTTACTGGGTTTATTCAACGACTGATCACTCTCTTCACACTCCACGAAAAACTGTAACATCAGATCAGAAAAAAAAAACAAAGGGTTACCTCGGTTGCGGTGGAAGAACCACAAATGTGCTTGAGCAGGATTCCGCAACAAGGATTAGTGTTATGGGACCTTACCCATAATAACATAATGGACTATTCCATACGTAATAAATACTGCGCCTCAAGAGGAAGCAGGGAGTTCAGTCCGAATGTGTTGTTTTGGTGATCGGAATATTGTTGGTATGTTTGGGTCCGTGTCTGGGACTGGCTAAGTTTAGAATTAAGACAGAAGAAGACCGTCCTTCCCCAACCCCCTTTTAGGCCTTGTGCCACATTTTGTACCATTTGTGCAAATAAATATCGTTCAGTACGAAGCCGGACGACCGGCTGACCGGCTGATCGGTTGAACTCTCTGCCTTCGGGCAGGGAGGAACCCGAAAGAGGCTACGCCGAAGGGCGGAGTCTCTTTCGGGGAGGTAAACCGACCCTGAACCCGTTTATACGGGTTCAAAGAGCATATTTTTGGCCGAGCCCACGGGCTCGGAGATCCCATGTTAAACCGGCCTTGTGCCACATGATGCCCTCGTGGGTGGGGGGGTTGACTAAATACCGTTCAGTCTGAAGTCTGGAGTGAAGGCCGTCAGGAGTCTCTCAGTCAGTCAGAGCGAGCGAGTCAGTTAGTCGAGTCAGAGGCAGACCGAAACAGAGTCACGTTCAAGGCAATTACTACTAAACCTGATTGTTCATACTAACACTTTCTACTTCTCTGTATATATTCCTGTTTGTAATATATCTGTGTTATTCCATATCCATGTTCGAGTTCTTCTTTATTGGTTCTACCTTGGACTATCACCGTGCTACAAGGAACCGGGCCATAACAATTAGCTAGACACTATTGTAGACAGGTGTACTCAGAAATGAGCAACCAGTTTTCTTTTATATCAGTTTTTTTATTATTTTTTAGGATAAACGGAGTTTAAGTCTTATGTTAAGACATTTGAACTTTTTAGATATTAATGACATTTGAACGTCTGCATAAAATGCAAAACAGAGACTAGATTCACCCTGTCGGCATTATACTGACAAATATACTTGGCCGGAAATACTAGTTTGAATGATCAATAAATATGAATATTCGAAAGCCACATTGAGTTCCCACCTCAGGATCAACTTGACTAAGAAAATTACGAATTTCTCCAGATTTTGGGGCCACGTCGTAGTGTAATCACGTACAACAAGGGTTCGCAGGTGGTTCAATCAAGTTTTGGTTTTTTTCTTTTTTCGCCCAACGACACCTCGATTAAAAACGCGTGATCAATATCGCCTGTCATAAACATGGCCATGAAAAAATCCACCATTTTAAGAATATCACCTGCTTGTTGTTATAAATCGCACAATATTCAAGGTCTTCCAAAGAGCTTGTTACGATATGTGGAAAGACATGAATAATGTATCTGGCTTCATTTGCCGTAAGAAAAAATGGTTTTGAGAGAGTTTGTAAGAAAACGAAAAAAGAAAAAGAAAGAAAGAAATCAGAATTAAATTTGAAAAACATACGGAAGGTGCGTATAAGTAGATAAAGAAAATGAAAGTATATCAGCTTCAGAAGCAGATAGTCAAAGAATTTGGTCGAGAACAAAAAAAAAACAGCTTAGAATGAAGATGCAGCTAATGTTTAGATGGAGAATACAGCAAAAAGCAAATCATACGAATACATATGCAAAAAGCAAAAGGGATTCACGAGGCTTGCGTTAAAAAATCACCTGACA